TAGATCAGTTATCAAAAGATATTAATATATTTATGTATGTAGTGACATGAATAAGTTTGTAGCATAATGAAATTTACTTTACACAAGTTTTTATTTTTTAAGTCATTATGTTAAGCACTTAATTCAGCATTCCTCTAATACTATAATCCTCTTATACAGTAAAGATTTTAGATAAAACTTCAGCCAATAACTATCAAACTATGTACTTATTGAACTATTCTCATATATATATATATATATATATATATATATATATATATATATATATGACTGAAAAGGAATATTTTATATAAATATATAATTTTTGAAGGAAATTTAAAAAATTTTTTTTGTTTTTTAGTTATTAATTTATTTATAATTAAAATCTATTTTAATCGTGGTCCAATTTTCCCCCCTCATTCGCTATTTACTAATGTGTCTTTGATTGTTTCCTCCTTCTCGCCAACATTCACCTTTTGAGAAAGTGTTAGTCGAAAGCATACCCTCAAGGTAAAAATAATGACATCCATTCTATTTAAGACGGTTTTCTTCTCCTGTGGGTACAAGTCATTGTGTGTGTGTGTGTGTGAGTGAGTGAGTGAGTGAGAGGGAGAGAGAGCACACTATAGATATCTACTTCAGTTAGATGGAGCTCATCAAATTGGCAGTCCATCTAGGGAAAGAAAAACCTGGAATTTAAACCTCTGTTGTCTTGTGGTCATATCCAAATACGAAAAAGGCTATGGAAGTAAATCCAAAGAGGAGCCTGTGCACAGTTGACTGGCAATACTGACAACCTTCCTTGCAACTCCTGCAGCCAAGATGGGTCCCCAAATGTAATGCCCTTTATATCTTTGGATCTTGTTAGTATGGCCAAGATGGGAGCCACATGGTCTGGGCAACACACAGCCTCCATATAACATCGCCCAGGACTATGTCTTGGAATGGTCAATCCCGTCCCCACCATATACACACACACACACACACATGCACACCAAAAGACTGAATTTTGAACACACTGGGCCCTACTTTTGTCTTGCATGATAAACAGATGCTTACTATTGAAATGTTAGTAGAAAAGTCAAGGCTCTTCAACAAAGGTAAATTTACACTAAATGATATTCAAGACTGAATAGAGTTTTACAACTAAAGCATTCAGGCATCTCCTGGGGCCCCTACTATGTCTAGATGATAACAGCACTCATGATTTACTTCCCACATTGTTTACTTTTGGCATTATAACAGCCTAAAGTGTCTTTGGAAGACATTCAGAAAAGATATTTGTATCAATTTTAAACAAGTATGAAGAAACATTTTCAGTTAGTAATTCACTACAATGAATTATTTCTACAAATAAACCTTCCAAGCATTTTATTTAATGAATCATTTACATTTCTAAAAGTGGATCATTTCCAATGCATTTCTTGTAAATATAGAGATTATTAACTTGTATTTTTTATTAAATATCATATTGAATAAACTGAAAACTAAATTGGGATAGCAAAAGATACCTTCCAAAAGCTAAGCAATGTATTAAGAAACAGAAAAATCTTGTTAGAAACAAAGAAAAGAGTACTTGATTCTTATGTAATATTAGTCCTACTATATGACAGTGAATACTGGTCAATCTCATTAAAGATGAAGAAGAGTCTTGAGGAAACAGAAATGTGGTTCTACAGTAGAATGCTGAGAATACCATGGACCAAACAAGTGTACAATGACAAAGTTTTAGAGAAAATGGAACCACAAAGGACAAATCAAAAAGAGGAATATTAAAGTCAAGAGGGAGAGATGAAGGCACTGAATAACCTCCTCAATGAACTGGGTTGGCAAACACAAATTAGAAGAGATAGTGAAAAGACAAAATTTACTAACAGCTACAAAAGATGGGAAATAGTGCCAAGCCATTATCACCCATAACCTGAAGGGACATGGCACATAGAATAACAAAATAAAATTAGCTTTGAAAAGTTCATTTTAAAATTATTTTAACTCCTGTTAATGATGCAATATAGCATTTGCTTCTTTGCAGTAGAAAACAACTAAAGCCTAACTTTATCCAAATCTATTAATAGCTTTAATAGACATAAGTCTGGAGTCAAATGAAAACTACATTTCTCATTGGCTAAAAATGCTAAACAACATTCTGAAGGAGTACTATGAATAACGGTTAAGGGGAAAAATGGAATGCACCTCTATGATTGGCCAAAGCACCAAAAGTAAAAAAAAATTAAACAAATCCCAATTGGTCAGAATTCATACATCATGATCATAAGTCCCATAACTCATCAGAGTCATAGAGGCACCACAGGTACTGCAGCCGCAGTAGAAGTTGTGTGTCTTGGGCAAAACTGCCTGACAGAGCTCAACCCACACCAGGCCAGTTTGAATTCAGACCAATTATCACTCATAGCTATAGAACCCAATCTGTTCTGCTATTTACCCATGAAGATATGGATTCATACCTTTCTCAAGAGTATTAGCACATAAGTGAATGTAATGAATTCAACTGGAATTTAAGCTCAGCTCTCCGATTCCTCAATCCAAGCTGCAATCCATTCAGTATGCAACTTTTAAACTTGTGTTTTTTTCTTCAGTTCTTCACTTTCCATAAGCAAGGATTTCCATTTTTGCCTAGCTGCTTTTTCCTGCCTTTTTTCTTCTCAGCTTTAAGGTATTGCTGTTCTGGCATTGGAAGCACTGCAGAGAATAAACCAGAGTCTGCGGTTTCATATTGTCAGTGGAAATTTTCTTATTGACTGAAAAAGCTTTCTCTACTGATGCCTGCCCATGAGAGAGTACCAGTAATCTCAGAACAACTTTTTTTTTTTTTTTTTTTTTTTAGTATTCTTTGTTGTCAGACAAAAAAAAAAAGGGGGGGGGGGCAAAAAAAAAAAAAAAAAAAAGCAAAATTTACAGCAGCCTCCACTTCAAACTCTTTGTACTGATTGATGACGAATATATTGATGATGTCATCACAATCAGACTTATTTTCTGTTCATCATGCTGGAAAGACATCTTTTTAGACTGTTTTAGTGGCCTTACAAGTGGGTATATAAGAGGAGACTTTGCCAGAAGTTTATCAATGATGGTGATGAACATTTTTTTTGTTGCAATTCTGCATGCAAACAAATCTTTTGTTGACACATTTCCTTTTTAGGATAAATTTTGCATAGCCCTATCTGCCAGAAATCAACACGATCTTTGCAGTATCTTTATGCATAATTGAGTTTGACAAAATTCTTACAAAGTCATTCGGTTTGGAAAATGTAATTACCTTTTTTTTAGTGTGCTCTTTCTTTACAAATCTTAACAGTTTCATGATCATGCAAAAAAATCATCTGCATGGAAAGGAAACAACAGTTTATTGCTCTGATATTTTATCAGAAACAGTTCAATGTTTTTCAAAACAGGCACGAATAAATTTTTGGAGATTCTTCCAAATGTATTTTATTACTATAAAATAATTTATTATTTTCCTTTCAACTACAAATTCAATGAGGGTAAATTAATTTATCTTTGACTGAGATGTTTACTTGTCTCAGACACCTTTTATCTTTGTTTTTCCTCTTTTCTTGTTGAGTGTGGGCAGTAGCTAGAAGATACGCCTTCATATTCTTTCTTGTCACCTAGACGAGACAATACAGAAGTAACTACAAGGTCATGAACACCTTTCTAATCAAGGAAACAAACTACCATTTGCAATAATTGTCAAATATTACTGGCGACTATATAAAAAAAAAAAAATTTCTTAAAGGACAATTTTATCTTGTAAAAAAAGAAAAAAGAAAAAAAGCCAGATTTCTCGGATTTGGCATTTTGACTTTCATGAATTGAGAAAAGGGATGTGTGGGCAGCCCAATTTTAAAAAATTCCAGACTTTTCAAGGAGCTTTTAAACTACTGCTGTTTTTCCAGGACTTTTCAAGCCCTGGAAAAGGCCATGTCAATTTTCCAGGACTTTTCAAGGTTTCTATGAACTGTATGAACCCTGTCCATTACTCCACTGTGCCTTCATACATGGGATTGAATGAAAGGATCTCATTTGCATAAGCACAAATATTGTTACAATTCTCGCAATCATGTGGAAGCTATGGCAGAATGCTTGTCAAAAAATGACCGCTCTCTGTTAGGCCGATTGGGAGAGAAAATCTGATGTCATGAAAGTCTGAAACTTTCTCTGACCCAAAAAGACATCAATGAGGAAGCATTCTGGCATGCAATATTTGCATATAAAACATATATCCAAAATACATTAAAATACACTACTTTCAGTTTGTGCTTTTTTTTCTTCTTTTCTTTTTAAATTAAAAATACTGAAATTTTAGTATAAATTCTTTTTTTTGATTTCTCTGGATAAGTTTGTAGCTTAGTGTTATTTTTCTTTAAAGAAAATATATATATTTCTATTTGCCCAGGAGATATTTGCTCAGATGCAAATCTTGAACATAGTATAAACTAAATTCATCTGCCATATTTGTAATCAAAAAATGAAATTTAAATCCTACTTAACAAAAAATAGTTACACATTTCTAGGATTTTGTTAATCTGGATTAAAAGTTTCATTTTTCTGGTATATCTCATTTGGGACCTTTATGCCCTTCAAGTGAGGCTGTAGATGCATATAATCCAGCAAATCAACATCTTTATATTCAATAGCTAGCTACCCTCATTTTCTAAGTACACTCATCTGCAAACGCTTGTTCAGGTACATTTTTTTTGTTTCTTCAACACACACAGAGTCACCTTGTGATTGATACTGCAACTATGCTGAGCAAACTTTAGTTACAGTTTCTAGGAGAAAGGTAATAAAACTGACATGATCAGTAGTTTGAACAATACCAATACACTCAAATCCTCTGTCATGATGACTTACAACTGTGTTAGTACAACCACTGACAGTTTCAAACAATTCCATTTGACCAATTTCACTGACACGGCTTGGATCAACCTGTGGTGTAATTTTCAGGCACTTTCCAAAGGCACCACACACAGAGGTTATCTTTCAAGATTGATTAGGCTTATGGTAATATCACTTTGAAACACCAGTTCCCATATGATCACCAAAGTTAAGCAACACTGAGCCTGGTCAGTACCTAAATGGGTGAGTGCTTGGGAATACCAGGTGCTGTAAGCTTGGATGTGTGGGTGAAGTAATGGATAATGGCTCGGAATTTTTAATCGAAGAGCTGGGTTCCAATTTCAGTTGGGTTTGTTATATTCACTTTTATGCAAATCTCCTTGGGAAAGTTATGAATCCACGTCTTCTCCTTCAGCTATGGATTAATCAGTAAGACTTACAATCAAACTATTTTCTAACTTTAAATAACCTGCAATGGGTTGATAAACCATAGGAAATTAATCAATCAATCAAACCCAGACTGATTATATCAGGAAGTCACATTCCTGACAAATTGACCATGGTGAGGTTCGAACACAAGTCTCAGGTCCGAAAAGTGAATGTTATAACCACTCATGCCCTTTATATCCACTCATCCCCACCCCAGATCTGTCTACTTATTTGTCCAATTATTTACTGTAATCTGCCCACAGCAGATCAAGGATTAAGAACTGAAATACTGTCTAGGATGGCACAGATAACATCAGCAATGACAAAAACAAAAGCCATCTGGCATGGCAGAAATGATTTCTTCAAATCAAAGATCAGACTAATCCAATAAATATAAAATACTTATCAAAAAAAAAAAAAAAAAAAAAAAAAGGTTCAAAGTCAGCAACAAGAGATTCCTTCAATATTGTAGATGTAAAGCTTGTAGTTGTTGGCTGTACATTGATTATAATTAATGTTTGGGATCACTAAATTGTAGTAAAGTAAATGTGTTTAGTGTTGTCAAGTTTAAATACTGGATTCGGTATGAGTGAAGATAAAACAATAAAAAAAGTAACATTTAATACAGTAAATCCCATTTGGACATTAATGCAAAGAAGAATAAATGTTTTCATGTAAATCAGCAAAAGACAGCAAAAGACAGCAAAAGACAGCAAAAAAACAAAAACTAATTAAGATAACCTCTGTTCACAGTTGAGCAATAATATAGAGAAACTTTGAGAACAATTTATAAGTTTCTAAATTCATAACAAAAATTAATAAAATTGATCAAAAACAAGGATCATATTATTTCTTAAATGATGTCTGAAAAGGATATAAAATTATAAAAGCATAATTTGAATGCATGGTCATCAGTAAAAAAAAAAAAAAAAAAAAATGAGCCTGAAATGCGATTTGCAGGTTGGGGACACTAAAATCAAGCATGCATGGAAGTTTAAATATCTGGGAAGTGTTTTGACGGAGGACAGTAGGTGTGACACTGAGATCTGAAGACAGACTGGGATCACCAAGGATACATTCCAAAAGCTGGGCAGAGTACTGCGAGACTAGATGATTTCTTTGGTGACAAAGAAAAGAGTACTGAGCTGCTACATGACATCTGTCCTCCTATACAGCAGCGAATGTTGGATGGTCTCCTCAAAGATGAAGAAGAGACCCGAGGCTGGAGATGTGGTTCTACAGAAGGATGTTAAGGATATCATGGAGCGAGCATGTGAGCAACAATGACGTCTTGGAAAAGATGCAAACAAGAAAAAAGCTTATACTTAACATAAGGAAGAGGCAGATGAAGTTTCTGGGACACATAGTGAAAAAAAAGGGCCTGGAGAATCTGATACTCACAGGTCAAATAGAGGGAAAAAGAGACAAGGGAAAGCAATACATGACATACTTGGTGGGGTTGGGCAAGTGGATGGCAGAACATGGTCTGGAGGAGGTGGCAGAGGCATGAACCTTATTGAGAGTTACAAGGGATAGGAGGAAGTAAAGAGTCATGATCACCTATGTCCTGAAAGACATGGCACATAAAAAGAAAGAATTTAACTATTTATAACCTTTGATTCACAAAGGTGGCAACACTCATTCCTAATGGAACAGTGAGGTATTTTGTGCGTCAATTTTATTTACAAAGTGTGGAAGTAGTAGACACACATGTATGACTACATTTTTGCCAATAACACTAAAATATTTGTTTCTTTTGAATTTTAATTGTGCTCATATGAGCTTGCTATAGAACCCATATAGTTGTAATTTTACAGAAAGGACAACTTGGTTTAGTAGATTTTAGTTAGTGGCATATCAACCTCTATTAATGCTGAAAATCTAAATATTTTGAACACAATTTTATGGATTCAACTAAATATATTTTGAATGCAATTGTATAGCTTCAACTACAGATCAAATGTATGGCTGGTCATTTTACTATAAAAATATATTTTTATATTTCCACTGTGTTTTGATTTTGTTTCAGGATTCACTAATATATAGCTGGGGCTATAACAGGTGATACCCCCCACCCCAGGTCAGGGTGGACCTGGGAACAACAGCAATTAAGAGGTGGTTCCATGCTCTTCAAAAACTCCAATCTCCTGATCAGAGGCCTTGCTGCCAGATGTAGTCTATCATCATACCCAGAACTGTCTTTGTTACATGAGTTTCATCACTCAGAGTACAGTAAAAATAGATTTGAGGATTAGAGCAGTGTTTCAGATCAGTACTTAAAAAAAAAGAAATAAAAAAAGATACTTCAAGACATAGACAATGAAAGGAAAATAATTTACCTCTATAGATTAAAAAAAAGTTCAATTACAATTCTCTGAAGGTTACCAGGCTTGACTGATATTTGAATGTTGAAGGACACAATGGCTGAAACATTATGATAAAGATAAAGACTATAAATCATAACTCCTTATCCAAAAAATTCAGACAGAAATAAAAAGTCACTACAATACTTTCTAATTTTTTCTACATATCTTTCTCTTATTTATTCCTTTATTTCTTCCATACTATATATTTAGCCATAAAAATCATCCCATTTCTATTCATTTCTTTATCAACATATTTTTGTTTATAGGAAAGAACCTCCTCCCCCATCAATACTGGAAAGAGCAATAACAGCTTGACTTGAGAAACCTATTTTCCTGAAAAATTGTTTTAAGAGAAAGATTTTATAAATTTCAACTGACAAGAGTATTGGCTGCCCAGTCAATGAATTCTGAATGTTTCTTTATAAGGAAACAATTAATATTACCATTACTCAACCAAATCCACTCATCTTTCCATCTATCATTCTCTTTGACCAATTCTCTCTATTTTTATCCATTAATCTACAAATGTCTCTTTCCAGTCATCACTGTTTTTAACAAGTGTTCAAAGATAACTACCTTACCTCTCAGAGAACCAGCTGAATCTTGCCGTTATCAAGTAACATTGTACAATCTACTTTTATCAGAGCAAAACCATTACAAGACATCTCTTCCAAAACCATTTTTATCGCAGGATGACATGTTGGCTATCTTTCATGGTTGTACCTCTCCCACAATCAGCAATAAGTTTTATCCCTTCTTTCCTTAATGTACATAACATGTCATCATACTGTGATCATATCACAAATGTCATCAATTGACTTGTGTTTGTTGAACTGAACATTGGTTAAGCATAAATATCTATTCCACAAGAGTTAAATAATGTTGAATAAGTAGAGAGAAAAAAAAGAATTAGAAGAAAGCAGTAAAAGAAAACAAAGACCAGAAGTAAAAAGATTAAAAAGTTAATTAAAAAAGAAAGAAAATTAGTCAAATGAAGAGAATTGAAAAGAACAGATACTACACTTAAACAAAAGCCAGAAAATAAAGATTCTGCTGAGGATGAAAAAAATGAATAGAAAAAGTAAAATGTGATTTAATTAAAGAACTAACTTTAAAACACTTTGTATATGAAGGAACCAGAAATTATATATATATATATATATTCCTATAACTTAAGACATATGTAAAAAACACACACACATTTAGGAGAGAGAGAGAGAATTACCTTTGATAAAGGCTAAACAAATAGCTGAAAGTGCTTGGATATGCAGAACCTTTGGACAGTTTTTACATACTTGGTGTCCAGAAAAGAAAACACTTGTACAAAGATAAGAAAAATTAAATAAAGAGCTTAACTGCAGTACCTTGTCAGATATATTTAAAGAAACCATGTATAAAAGAGGGATTGCTGCCTAAATGCACAATTATCAAACTACACAATCCAGCAACTAACAAGGAAAGTAACACTAATTATTCAATGAAACTTGCCTCAATATATATTATTAATAAAGTAAGTGACAAGAGGAAAGCATTTTATGCCAAAATGTTTCATTCCTTGAGGAACTTTTATCAAGGCAAATTTGGAAATTTTATTTAAGAACTTGTATTTATATACAAAGAAAAAGTAATGTTGAGAAAAAATAATATTATCCATTCAAACATTATTTCACTTAACATGCTAAAAACTTATGTTACTTAACAACCTTCATAGTTTTCCCTTCCTTAAAGCCAAGAGAGTTTTGAATATTTTACAGCATTCTATAATTCAAACTTGAATGCATAATGTTACTTTTTTGTGTATAAATATGGCTTCCTTAATAAAATTTGTACATTCGCCTTTGTCAAGAAATGAAACAAGATTTTTTCCTCGTCATTTCTTTTATTAAGAATGTCTTTGCAGATCCTTTTTTATTTTATATGTGAATTTTTACTTTTAAGTTTTATTATAGATTTATCTGATTCTGATGCACAGATCTCTTTCTACAAAACTTCCATGTTGTTCAACATTTTATTTATCTATTGATGCACTATAATTTTTAGTACTGAACAATTTATTTGCAAAATTCTGCTGACTTTGAACACGTTACACTCCATTAATTTACTGGTTGACATGTTTTATTAAGCGTAAACTTTGTTATTATTATATATGATGGTAGCTGTGACTTGATTTCAAGCAATATCATCGCTTGATATAGGCAGCACAAATATTGCTTTTTAGTCCTGTAATGGTTTTCCATTCTTTTTACAGATGTGGTAATATAAGGTGTCTTTTGCAGTAGCTGTTAAATAGATGTAGCATAACATGTAATGAATGACTTAGTTCTTTCAGTACATCTTTTTGATTTTTGATATATAATGCACACACACACACACACACTGCTAGAGTTGAAATCCAACAAAAGAGAACAACTGAAAAAGATTGAATACTCTCACTTTCAAATCAATTTGATCAGTGCACTCTTACTTTTTTTTTTCAATC